AATTAATTGGATATTTCCTTCTATACATTTTAGCACGTAGCTATTTATTATTAGTATTATTGTTCCGACGTGTGATTTCTTTTTAATTATAGGAAATGCGTTTTTCTAAGATACATAATCTTTTGGGATTGACTGTATAGCCAATAGATCTTTAAGTAGTTTATGTAGCCGAAGAAGATAATCGATGTCGAGGATCAATTTAAAATACTTAAATCATAGTTACGTTAGCAATGTAATAATAAATTATGAACTTTTCAATATACTTTGTAGGATCTCTAAACATTTTATAACATTTGCAATTGAAAATACATTTGCCTGTTTGACTGATGGAAATTCCTGAGACTTGTCTACGGCTTTGATATATCAGCCCTTTAACTGAAACTGAAAATCGAATGGAAGGCATCCACATATTGAAACATAAATATCAAAGTACGTACTCGATCTGTGCTTCGTGTTATCGTTTATATATGATTGTCAGCGAGTTAGTGTTCTGTCTGTTCGCGTATCTGTCGAAACGTGCTACCAAATGATCGTTCTTAAACGTTTCAGCACCGTACAGTGACTGCACGTGTATTGACAGAGTGATTTCCGGAGAAGCATCAAGTGTCATTCAATTATCCGCGTCATGGTTCACGTGAAAGATTTAAATGACAGTTAATTACAGTTGCAGTCTAGCGCACTGATGTGCAATAAACTGTGTGTGAACCAGCTGACAAGTGTTTCTTCTTAATCGATAGAATTACTGAGAAAACGTGTGAAGAACAATAACATTATCTACGCGATTGATTAAGATCATTGAGTTGGATGAATCTCAGATCATTAAAAGAAACAATCTCATAAAATAAACGTTTACGAGCGCAAAAAAAATTTTATCAGAACCAGTGGCAGTTCAGTGTGGCTTATCAGTGTAATCTACATGCAATTGTCTTCGATATTCCGAAGTTTATACAAACTAGTTAAAATTCTACTGTGCACACATTTTAAAATTAATTACGTAGTTAACGACGACCTAGAAAAAATACAATTCAATTACGTACTACAAAATTTACGGTCGTCGTAACCGCAGTCAATGCAAGCCACGTGTTAGGTGTTCCCCGATATTGCCGGGTGTGACGTCATCGTAAATCCCATTCGATCGGCGTAATTGTACGCGTAGAATACCAATTGTTAAGAAATTTCTTCGGGAATGACCACTGGATTATCTGAAGGATATGCGTTCGCACACTATGACACCATGTAATAAAAACTAATCTTTCCTGCTGTATTTACCCAAGTATCGATTCAATTGGTTGAATAATATTAAATGAACGATTCATTCATTATTAATATTTGCAAACTCATCCTCGAAAAAAGATTTCCTGGTAAAGCGCATCGTTTTTTAAACGCTGAACTATGTGTCAGCGTATAATTAAAAGAAGAATAGCGATAATCAAGAGGATGTGAGTCTACGTTTCTGAACTCTCCGAAGATAAAATAAAAAATTGAATAAAACGGATATATTAATTCAGGTAAGTCACTCTCAGGCGTTAGTGATCATGTCTACCTGACTACGAAGAAAAACCTTAAATGAATTAAATCTTTTTTTCAAACTCCTGTTAATATCCAAATGAATTCAAACGAATCGATTTAAATTTTGATCACGGATAAATACAAATCACGTCGAAGGCAGTTAAGAAACCCTGGATTTTATGAGGTTCGTGCTAACAGAAAACGAGAATAAAAAATCAAATTCTGCACATGTTCTCGCGTAACATTAAGAATATCCGAATCGAACCAGAATTCCTTTTTCCGAAGTACTGTTATTGCGGAGATAGGTATATCCATACGTGCGTAACGCATTAATTGAAACTATTAGAAGAGACGCCACGCCGCAGGCTCGGCAAGGGTCGCGGCTCGACTGCTACTCGCCCAGTGGAATTTCCTCGAGCGATGATGCTGCGAATCAATAAATGATCTACGATTAACGTCTATTTGCGATAAGACTCCCACCATCGCCGTCTGAGATAGCAGACGTACGTACGTCCGGACAGGAAAACGTCGTCGCATCCATCCAGACGAACAGTGGCTGAATTGCCGAGAAACGACCTGAAGCCTGAGGTTTTATCAGTCAACCACGACCGCGTGCAGCAAACAGTCGCGAGTACGCGCGACGGTGGTGACTTTCAATCTCGACCAGTGCGAAATACGTCGTGTGCCTCTATACTCCGTACCCTCCTTTCTATTTGCAAGTTTTTGTGCGATTTCTCGTACGGAATCCTCACAACGCTGGACCAATCATCGATCATAGTGGCCGATTCGACGGAACGGCTCCTTCATTTCGACTCGCATAAAGCGGGCCGAGCGGAGTTCTTCACGAAATCGACGGGATCGGACAAGCGCAGACCAGAAGTGGCAGGGTTAATCGAACATCGGGGAACAATAAACGACATACCAGGAAACGTCGACACGCTGGCGCAAATTCTTCAATACATCGTTACTACGTAAGTATTAGTCACGGTGATTAAAAATGCTCTGTTTTTTTTACAGTTTTTTTAAAGCGTTAATAAAACGGTGACTAAGCTGGTCTCCGTCTACTTCGCGTATAATTTATTTTTTTACTTGCCGATATCGCTGAACGCTGTGGCGATATCAGTTGTACTACAGAACACGACGTATCGCGGGCCACGTTTAAAAAGAGCGGTAATTAAAGGGTAAACATGTATGTAGATATACGAAAAAGAGTGCTAAGAAGTAGAGTACATTCGTTACGACGCATGTGATCTTCGGTGATAGATTGTGATTACCAAACATGATGCCGATACTGTTATCGCGGTACGTCGTGTACAGAGGATCTCGCTTAAATATAATTAGTAGCAAATTCGTGTGTGTCAAAAGTTGAATCGCATTAATTCTCATTACTTTCTGAGTAATGCGAGCAAATTTATTATCGTGGATAAATAAGATTAAATTCAACGAAAATCTAAAGTGATGCTATTGGAAGAAACGCTGATAATGCAGAATTAGCGATATTTCACACGAAATGTTGCTCTCTAAGTATATTCTCACAAAATACTGCATAGATCGTCTCCTCAGCTCTTTTCCATTCGTGTAATTCAAATCCGACCACACGTGGGCTTGAGATTAATAGTAATACAAGACCTAAGTTCCTCGTGTCGTTTAATGATACTATGCTGATCTCCTATATAATGTTACACGTGCCATCAAATCGTTTAGATCAAGAGCAACGACATTAACTAAAAGAATATCTGTCTATCAAGTAGATAACCCTTATTCGTTATCAGTTAATGAATAAATCTCTGATTAATATCTTTTTTTTTATTGGGAGTCCATAATCTGCTTAATAAAATCTTCGATTGTCGATGTGATCGATTGACCTCGGGATACTGTACAATGGAAAATTATTATACTACACGTTTTACGATTCTGAGAACTTGATACAGCTTCCATTCTAATATTAACTTTATTAAATTTTATCTTCGCAGATCAAGGCTGACCGAAATAGGCAGGTCCGACGTGAAAGTATCACAGGTCGATCCCGGACTCTGCCAATTTCGAAGGGGACACTACAAAATCGCCCGGTACCATCGAACTCGGTATGTTTCTTGACTAGACAATTTCTATTATAGTTTATCTTAAGCATTGTTATAATGATTTTCTTTAACCGCCGGCTTGACGAGCGGCGGCCTTCACTGTCACGTATGCTCTAATCATGTTTTACTAAATAAAAGGAAAAATACAGCTCACGAATCAAGGAAAATAATTGCAGGTATGGTCGTTTCTCCGGACTCGTCGACTGAGCCGACATTGTTGCGCGTAAATAATATAAAATTAAACGATTCTACGGATCGCAGTGCGCAATTAGGAAACATGAAGGTGAAGGATCAAGCGTTCACCATAGAACGAGAGAACATGTCGAACGGGAAGGATAATCTCGCGTTGGATTTCGACTGCATAGAGAAGGGTAACGAGAAGAACCCGTCGACCGGCATTAAAGCGGAACCAGAGGTGTTGAAAAAAGTGGCGGGTAAGCTATCAGCGACTTCGTTCATTTACATAATATAATGGCTGTACAGTTAAGCGCGTGGCCTTGAAATTTGATAAATGGTCGATGATGGTAGATTAACGGTTACGAAAACCTGAATTATATGTGTATGAGTCGTTTAAAATATAAGCCCCGTACGACTTTTTAGACATTTCTTCGCGAGTATCGTCACCGAGTAGTTTCTCTTTCTCACGGCACAAATTGAACGTATCGAAAGAATCGATCGAAACGGAATTTTTCCGTAGTCAAGGTATTAATAAGAATTCACTGCGTTAATTAATCCTGATCGCACGTCACGATGTAAAGCAGTCATTGTCGTCAGAACCATCATTCGCGCGACATTACTCGCAAGAACAAGAAACAATAAGCAGATATCGTGTCTGTATTGCAAGACGATTTATAAATAACGACAATCGTTCAAGCACGATAACCTTGCCTTTTATTTTTCATCCATTCCGGAACTGTGAGATGTGTTCCGCAACGGTATCGGAACGAATTACAGGATCGCCTCGAGGCTTGAACAGTTCGTTATTTACGCGTCTGAAACCGTGAGTTCGTGGTCAACATGGGATTAAGGCGAAGTGTGACGATAAAAGAGGAATTCGTTTAGATAACCGATCGACGAAGCGATTGACGATAACGCGCGGCTAGTTGATGGACACGCGATCGCATATTGTTGACCTTTGTTATAATTAAGTGTCGTTAAAATGCCGTACGGTGCGATGTGAGATGTGTTGATTTCTCGGTTCAGCGGGTCTAAAGAACCCTAACAGCGAAAAGAACAAAACGGACATGTCACTGCCCAATCTTGGTGGTGGATCAATTTCCAGTGGAAGTTCCCTAGTGACGATCTCTTCCATCGAAAATTCAGATCCCGGTCCCGACTTTCATAATAATCCGGCCGGATTCAGCGGGGACATCAACAGAAATGAAAAATGGTATCAGACCACCCTGCAAGTTGCCGTGCCCTTCTTCATCGCCGGGATCGGTACAATCGGGGCGGGCCTCGTTCTTGACAATGTCAAGGTACGTTCCATCCAACAGCTACTTATTAAGCGCTAAAAGCGAATCGTAGTTCCCGATTCAATTATCTCGCGTGAATCGAAGACCCCAGGCTCGATCGTAAATCACGTATTTTCGTCTCGAGAGACCATGTTTCTCTTATCGACACGCTTTACGCCCATTGTCTGAAGATAATCTTGAAACAGACGGACGGTCGTATATTTTTATCTTTTATCGCGGTTCCGCGTTTTACCGCGTCTTCGTGCCTAGTGAATTACGATTACTTCCGTGTCAGAATACCGGAATCGTAATCCGGGCAATCTTTTACATAAATACCGCACCTTTTTTTTATCCTACGACCAAATCCCTTCCGCAAGAACGTTCGCAATCCGAGATCATATTGGCATTTACTGGTACAGAAATTCTTTGAACGTAATTTGCATTCCTATGGTCGTTCCTTCCGTAAGAACAGCTCGAGACACGTGCAAGCCCTCTCTTTTAATTAAACATCACTTCTGTTTTAGGACTGGGAAGTATTCCAGGCCGTTTCTCAGTTATTCATCCTGGTGCCGTCGCTATTGGGGCTGAAAGGCAATCTAGACATGTGCCTCGCCTCGCGCTTGTGCACGCAAGCGAATCTCGGAAATATGCACGGTTTCCGGGAGATCGCGAAGATGATTATCGGTAATATCGCTTTAGTCCAGATACAGGCGATAGTCGCGGCGATTTTAGTGTCGATCTTTGCGATCGTAGTCCACGCGATAACCGAAGGTAGCGAATACGTATTTAAATGGGATAATTGCCTGCTGTTAGCTGCCTCCAGCGTATGCACTGCCACGAGTTCCTGCTTCATTCTAGGTAAAATGAATCTTGCATTGAACTCTGCTCGATTAATCTGCATATCGCGTTCATTAATAATATTATTGCCCGATAGATTTTGTAATGATCGCGGTTATCATGTTCTCGTATCGATGCAAAATGAACCCCGACAACCTGGCTACGCCCTTGGCTGCTTCCTTCGGTGACGTCGTATCACTCAGCGTGTTATCGGTGATCGCATCGGCATATTTTACAAGAATGAAAGAAGAACCGTGGCTTCTGTATGTGGTACTCAGCTGTTACCTTGCGATTTTACCGTTTTGGATTTACGTGGTTCTCAAAAATAAATATACCAGAAATGTTTTAACGTCTGGTTGGACTCCTGTTTTATCAGCTCTATTTATCAGCGGGTTCGTATTACGTTCGTTTTATTACGTTAACAAACGGCCGCGACGATCCTCGGGGAGATAAACTTTTATTTGTATTTCGTTGCAGATTCGGCGGTTTGGTTTTGGGTGAGGTTGTTGATTCGTTCAATGGATTCGTGATTTTCCAGCCCATCATAAACGGAATCGGAGGGAATTTGGTATCGGTGCAAGCGTCTCGAATCTCGACGACGTTGCACCAGACGTCGATCATGGGAATATTACCGCCGCACTCGAAAATGTTCATTGCCCCGTGGAAAGCGCTCTTTAAAGGCTGTGAGTGATGCAACAATACCGAACATTGCGCGTTACACGGTTTTTCGCATAGTTCTCCGGTTGCGTAACATCGTTTGCTTTCATTTTCTAGCGCCGTACGCGAAAACAGCCCGAATACTCATTTGCATGGCTATCTTCGGCGAGTTGATCTTCATTTTCGTCGCGGATTACATCAAAAACGAAATGTCCACATTAAACCCTTATTTCGTAACCTGTTACATACTCATGGCCGTTCTACAGGTGCGTATAATGAAATATCTGCGATTCTCGTCTACATTGAAAAAGCGAAAGGTCCGAACCGATCGGGAAAAATGCATCGATTTTTGTCTCCCAGGTCATGCTACTGCTCTACGTAGCCCATATCATTATCCACGCTATGTGGCGGTTTAAAATCGACCCGGACAATTCCGCTATTCCGTACCTGACGGCTTTGGGCGATCTTTCGGGAACGATACTCCTAGCAGCGGCGTTCTGGTTCCTCATAGAGATACACAAGGAATACGGCAAGTAAATCGGAACGATCAAAGTGGCGAGATCGATGATACGATAGGAGATCGTATGTCGAACTTCTCATCGAGTGCACAAATTTAAATGACGCATTAAATAGCGTCGATCTAATAGTGTTCGAGAGGGAGAAGCAAACAGAGAGAAAGATAATTAAAAGTATGAATAGCTCGTGAAAACGAGTACGGCGTATTATTACGGTATGATCTGATTGATCCGGAACGGACACGAGAACAGGATCGTTATCCTCCATTAAGGGGACATCTTAATGGTACGTTAGCCGCGTTAATTAGTTGTATCATAGAGATTGAACACGGAGAATTAGAAAAAAAATGTGTCACTGTTCTTGAAGTAGGTTCGGTAATAATAGAAAGAACAAAGTACAATTATATTGATTCGAACGCAACTGGATCGAGCAAAACGCTCAGTTATGATGCAACACGTTATGATCTAATAATAATCGTACAATCGCAATTACGTAAACCAAAAAAAAGTACTGTTAAACGATAGATATGTTTAGTAACAATTCTTATATATTGTGGAAGGAATTTACTCGTTTTTTAATTTTCTACTTGTATCAGACGGCATTTACAGAATTTTAAATAAATTAATGTTTTCGCGTGCATTTTAATTTCGCCTTAGTCTAATACAAGGAGAAGACCTAGTCAATATTTTAACAACAATTGATAATTATAATATAGAATGATTGTCTTCTAGGAAATCTAATTTGTATAGTAGCACATAAATTTTAAAAATAGGAATTAAATTTGCAGAACTGTAAGCGACTTAGAATTACTCAAAACCTTTTATTAATTCGAATATACCATTTTATGCCAGTAAAACAAAAATATAGATTGTAAATATTGTATTAAATAGATTGTACATACACACAAAATGAAAATAATTTAAATGAACGCTTCTTTATGAGACATGTGAGTAACATAAGGTACAATAACATTATATATTATATTTTTTGGTTCCTTGAATAGTATTGCAGCTAATTCATAATCGTGAATAGTTTTATATAGATAAACTGTGATTTAGAACAGTATCTTCTAAAATATACAAGATTTGTATCCATCAATAAAACACTTTAACTTTTAAGCAATGATTGTCATTTGTTAACACTAGCAATTTATTAATGGCAGTGCGGCACAGATGGTGTTTAACATTCTACAGCAACCATAAAAATGCAAACTGATACATTTGTAAATATTCCTCTGATAAAGAATAGAAAATAATTGTGCTAGCTCAAGAAACTAATTTGAATATTTAAATGCGTAGGCATGTTTGATATACTGTTCTAGTATTCTAAGTCACACAGTAGCGTACGTAAAAGTACCTCACAACGAACGAAAGGAGACATTAATAAAATCCCAAATTAATGACTTACGTATAAGATAATCGTATTGATAGTAATCGAAACTGATGACAATGCATTGATTTATGAAAACCCAAAATTTTTTACCTTTTTGACGAGTTCATTGCGGCAGCGATCCTTCCGTCCATAGCACATGTGGGGGAGAGGGCCTCACGTGCGAATGGTGGCATCTTCAAACGGTACAAAAAGAATATATAAGTTCTATCGCGTTCACCGAAATGAAAGTACCACCGTGTCCCCGGTGTGAGTCCTTACGTACCTTCGCAGCGTGGTGTCTCGCAGGTGGGGTATTTAACAGGAAGGGGGATGCTGGGCGACATTCACCCGAGACGTTTAAACTGGAGCAGTTCCTGATCGCGTCCAGAAGACACGACGCGAATCGTTTCGGAAAACAACTACGACGTAATATTATTCTAAACACAGGTGTACGACCGCGTGTAAACCGTGCAACGACCGGGACGAGACTAAGCATCGAGTGCGACCGAAATTTGATAAACGCGCCCATCGCGATGTTCAAGGTGAGTGACGCAACTTTCCCGATACATTTGTCTACGCAGAGTGTTATAAAAATAATTTTCCCTGAATGCTACGAAGAAAAATAAGACACACCCGTGTCTGGGTGATACATCCGTGCTACAGACGTGCATAGACATTCTTCGTAATAATAGAACCGAAGGCTACGCGTTCTTATTGCTTATTGCTCAGGTTTAATTGGACGTGACACTTGACTGGGTTAATTGGTAGAACGTGGCTCGTTGATGCAGTTAAATGTCGGCAATTTTATCATGGTAGATGACATAACAACCATGCGCGGCTAAGATTTTCTCGATTAATGTTAATCACTTTCGCTCGCGTGACTTCGCGTCATTGTAATTATCCCATACGCAAATAATTCACTTGTTCGTATGCAACAGGTACTTTCTAAGAGCAAAGTTTCTTAATAAAAAAAAAAAACATACCTTTTAACATCGATCCTAAAATTATTAAATTAAGTTTCTTTGCCTATTATGACAATTTCCTTTTTAATATTTCGTAAACAAATATTGTTGTGATAGAACAAATTAAATGCATGGGAGTACGTAATACAGGTGTCGGAATCTATCTGTCTATCATTGCTGTCGTGGTTCGCTACGCTGGCTCATAATGGGCGCACAATTCATTCGAGCCATCTCTACGTTGCGAGTGAAGGTGAACGAATAAGAAGGCGAAAGGGTAGTTTGGCACGCACTAGTGAACACGCGAATGGCTTTAACCGTTGCTATCTTGGACACAATAACGATCTTGGCTCTTTATACATACACATGTATTATACATGTATCTGTGAGCGTATCGAAAATGTGCGATCCGGTTTCAATCGTGTGGTTGCGTATTAGATCAGCACAGCTCCGGAAAACAGAGTCCGAGATCGATATTTTTCAATCAATGATTATTAACCAATTCTATTCATTCGTTGGCTACGTGCAAATGTTATAAATTTGCACAGTTTTCAAGATACTTATCAACGACGTGTTTGCTGTAACAATCACACAATATCCCGTGGTTATTCGCGAGTCGTTCAGCTCGAAGAACGCTGCAGGTACGCGAGCTAGTCAATGTATCGTTGGATAACTTATTCGTGGACGGCGGGAACAGCCGTATAAATTGGTCAGCGGTAACAAGACACTAAAAGCGAATCGAGGGCGAAGTTTCACCTAAAATATGAACAGCATTCGGATGTTTACTTTCTACGGATGCTCGCATTCGAATGTGCACTGGGCTCGAGTGACGAAACCGCGAATAGATATCTATGTAATCCATTGCAAGACGCGGCGTCGCGGGTCATGTATGAGCGAACCAATTCACAATCATCTATTGCGTACATCTGCACACACACACACACAGACTTGCGAACATCGCGGTTCGAGGATGGCTGCTCCTATGATCACTTTCAGATTCGCTTTTAAACTGGTTTGATGTATGAAGCATTCGTGTCGAACGATAATTGTTTATTTCAGTGGACGTTGCTTCGCGTGATAGCCGCATTGGTAACACCCGATTCACGTGCCTAACAGTTTGCCTAACACTGCTCGATGATGTATATCGCGATGACGATGATACATGAGTCGAGGCTGCAAACAAATCACTACTACGGGGACTTACTTGCTTATCTTGTATGTACATGCATACCTTCCTCCTATGATGAGATATAGTCGTGCCCGTTAGCCACTAAGTGTGATTATCGTTTATTACTACCAGATTATCTGGCACCATTAGACAGCGCCGCGCGGAGGTTGCAATTAATTTTTGTCAGAACCTCAGGAATTCGCGATCGCCGTTTCGTGCCTCACTATCTCACCAAGATCCGTCGATAGCGTGAATGCGTATTTCGTAAATGCGGTTCGGCAGTGACGTGTGGGTCATCCGGGTTAGCGAAACTTACAAATTTTAGCCTCCAGTACCTTGACCCAAAATATTATACTAGAATACTTTCTAATGTAAAAGTTATACATACATACGCGTGGTCCTTCGAAGCAAGGCCTATTCCGCGAGAAGTTTAATATATGTTTATATACGTTCGTTCCGGAATTAAAGTTCCGGGACGGTGGCGGAGCGCGTGGTGACCGCTTGAACGTTTGAAAATTTTAATTACAGATGAGAGCGGTGCTCTTCTTTGTTGCGGTAGCAGCAACTGGAGCCATGCCCCTTACGAAAGTGCACGTGAAATTTGTTTCCCCTCCGCATATTTACGAGCACGGTATTACGACAGATGGTTAGTTCATATACGTATGTAATTACACGGCGTGTATCGTTGAAAAAAATCTTGCTTTACCACGAGGTAAAATTAATTCTAATCTCTCAGGGGATCGGACGATCGACCAGAGATCGTACGTTTCCATAGGAAGAAGAAGCACGACAGGAAGTCCTAGAGTATTTGGTATGACATTTTCGTACGATAAGCGTAAAAGCAAACGCATTAGAATATTCGCTAACTTTGAATTAGTATTAATGTTATCTTGCGTTTATTGACTTATGTTTGTTCACAGGACAACATTTACGCAATAGACCTAACACTGTACCGACTTATATCAAACCGGAAAATGCTGAAGCCCTGTGGCCGGTTGGGGTATTCATACCGCCAGTAGATATCAATGATCTCGGTTATAGTTCGCACGAATCGAGACACGTAACACCGGATTTTTCTAACGGACTCAGTAAGTAATATACATAGTACAAACTCGGTACGCAAATATATACTAGGTGAATGCGTGGATATTATGATTTAGTTTCTCAAGTAAGAAGGGAAAAACACATATATTATTTCAGAATATCATGACCCGTATCTGATAACTGGTCGGAAGGCCATGCAACTCGTAAAATACCTTTATAGCCGCGGTGAACTGTTTTACGACGATATTCCACACGAAAGAGCGCTTTTGAGAAACCAGGAAGAAAGGAGTCGAAACGGTCTCCATGGTCACGTATTGAGCAGTTTGAGGCGCACCTCTGCATTCTATAGGCGAAATTGATGTAGACGAATTAATTGATAATCTTATTCATTATTAATATTATTCAGGATAATCGGCTAATCGCATTTTGGAAAATAAGAGAATGTCTGCTATAATATGTTAAAAACACTGCAGCACTTCCTTGTTTAAAACTATTGAAAATAATAAAACAATGATGTTTGTTTTACACTGCTCGATACTTTTTTTATTTAAAAATTTTGAAAATAAACTAATTACATCTGTTTTCTACTGTCCGCACTTTACAGTCTTGCTGATGTGTTATACAGATTTATTACATAAAACGTATATACCTCAATTTCTTGTGATTATACATAAGATACGGTTATAAATAAAATTAGAGTATATGTTTTTACAGACATCTTATTCATTTAAACCTAACAACAAATCGATACTTTATACTGGCTACACTTGGACATTAAAGATATCACGTCATGTATAGTTACAAGGAACTTTTTATACAATAATATACAGTCAATTCAGTCCCGGTATTCTCAAGCGAACCATCGAATTAAAACGCCAAGCATCGTAAAGATTAAGCTATTGGATATGCTAAGCTTCGTTGTTCCATTGCATAGATCCCCCATACAAAGACACATGTACACCTTCTTGTAATTCCAAACGGTGTACGCGCATCTCTCCTCGCCGTCGTCGGGCCCTCGTTGGAAACAAAGTCTTTGCGTGGCCGTGCCATACTCTGCGCGAAACAATATTATTTGTAAAACAATCCTATACAAAATACGAGCAATACCTGCAGCTTACCATTATTTAAACCGTGCCGTTCAATAATCTTGCCGCACCAGCCGGACGCGCAAGGAACAGCGTCGACACCTTTTTCCATTTCGATCTCCGTCTCGTTCATGGTGAAAGGATCCTTGCATGATCCCAAATCTCCCCTTGATCTACAATTCACGCATCTCCGGAGAACTCCTAAAAGGGGAGCACCGATAAGTTACATCGGTACCAACGAACGCAATCCGTAGACGCGTTCGTCGTTTCGTCAGAACTGGCACGTGAATGCGTTCGCAAGTAACTCGCCGTACTTTGCAATAAAGATGCGCTATCCGGAATGCGGTGAAAGTATAATATCGTTCGCGATGTATACAGATGTAAAACAGATGAGACTCACCGGGTGCGCTCTGAAGAAGAGCCAGGCAAAAGATTGCGCACGCCCATGTCCTTGAATTCATCCTAATGTGTATTCGCTCGGAAACGCGTGCAGTTCTTATCGATTTATTCACTGGTTAACAGGCATACAAGGAGAGGAATCATCAAACTCAGCCATTTTGAAACTAAACTACGACCACGAGAAACGGACACGTACTCCATACAGTTCTCTCTCCCACTGCCGCCTTTCACTCGGTTACCTTTAAGGTCATCGCCTGTCTGAAAACATCCCGTCGAAGAAATCGTCCTAAAGACTCGGTCGATAATGCTACCAAGCACTATCAACGAATTTTAATTGATCACTTTCGTTGATAAACGATTCTTAAATCATGGACCCTGATCAATTAATGGTATCTCTTCGTCTTGTTTGACCGCATCGTTCTTCGGAGCATTTGACTTCCTCTGTCTCTGTCTCCATGCATAAATTAAACCACTGCAGTAGCAAAATGAGCAAAGTAGGAATATAAATCCCAGATATCCCAAATGACGTAAAAATTCTACAAAAAAGGAAGGACAGGTAATAATTTCTCAAAGTAAGAACGTTTAGGTATGTTACCTTGCGTCAACAGTTTTCCTTTAGCAACAACGATAACTTTTAATTGCATCATATTCACATTGTCTATGTAACACGTGTAGTTCCCCTCTTCGTGGGTAGACACTTCTGATATGCGTGGGCAGAAGCGTGAAACATTATAAAAGTACGATGTATAATTTATCTACTCGAAGTACCTATCAGATAAAGCGTCCCAAAGGCGTCCACTATCACGCGAGCTTCTGGATCCAATTTGCGAAAAGATCGCCGGACACCCTTTTCTAACGTAATCGCGTCCTTCTTCCACGAGACCTGTGTATCTGGGGTTGACCTATAACGTTTGCGTTTTGTTAGAAGGAAGTATCTCGTAAATACTGAGAAAATAGATAGATACTCTGGGCAAACAACGGTAAGATAAGCTCCCTCCGCGAGCACGAATCGTTTAACGTATTTGAACTTTCGACCCTTTATCGTTTTCACGCGAGGACACTTCTTGCACGGTTCCTTTAAAATGAATTCGGGCAAATGACGCACTGCACTGCTGACGCTAGGAAATTCTTCTTCGAGTAAAACTCCCCTTAAACAAAACCACATTGCAACAGATTTATGTAATTTGACGTGAAATGTATAGGCTTGCTTACTTGCAAGGTATTGAAGGTGATTTCCGGAAAAATTTAACAATAGATGAGTCGCTTTTATTAGCAATTGCCTATAATGGTGCGAAATTCTAAATTATCGATTTTTAATATCACGATTTGTTTCAGTTACCGTATTTATCTGTCGTATCAATCGGCACTGTCCAACACTTTTCTTATATCCGCGATTACGTATACAATGTTCACATGGGCCCCAAGGCCCCCATTCAGAAATCACCTGTAGCGTTATTCCTACCTTTCGAATTTCAGCCAGCTCGGACATTTGTGAAACCTAATTGTACGATTCGTGCTTGATAATGATACGTATATAAATAACGAATCTCTGGTATCGCATAAGTGTGGAGGTTAATCTCACAGCAAATCGGGTGGTAACGGACGCTAAGTACATTTCTCGATATTTTTCCCAGTCAGTCGTATTTCCTTGCTCCATATAAGAAACTCCGTATTCCTTAGAGATTGCTATCGCAAAACAAATTTAGTCAACCAACTATATACATAGATTATATGTATAGATCTAAACTAGACCCAAGCGGTTCTCAAGTTTGATTGAAATATTACGTTCGATTCTATAGTTGAATTTATTTTCAGCTTCCTGGCCCTCCTCACCGTGACATAAATAAATCCCAGCGTCTGTTATCTTTAAATCCTTGATTGCCAAAGAAAATTCTGGAGTAGTATAAATTCTATTGTATGATGCGTTATTATCCATTTCCAATTCGACCACCTTTTCGGGATTCTCTCTGTACCGATCTTGGTAATACCAAATTTTCGACTGCCTTTCTTCTTTGTCGTTGCTGCCTTATAAAACAAATATAATGAGAGAATCTTAATTTTCATCCCCGTAGCAATATCTCGTACCAAAATCGACATTCCATCACGACCAGCGAGTCAATCTCGGCGCTAATAAGTAAATACTCATCGTTCTCTTCAGACGTTATTAATCTTTCCTTATTTCTACAATGTTTGGTGAGTGTCACGGATTGATCGATGGAGACAATATTGTCCGCACTAGCGGATGAAATCATTAATAACCAAAGGATGTTTATTTGTAACATATTAAGTTAGCATTAACATTTAGAAAAATTGCGCATTTCAGGGTATATTAAGCTAACTCGATTTATATTTATACAATTGTAATTACGCATGTAAAGTCGTCTACATTATAATATAATATATAATAAATATCATATTAATAAACAGGGACGTGCATATTGTATCTTTTCCTTGTTTATAAGCGTTAAATCTTTCGGATTATAAAGATTTTTCATATTTTATTATACATTATGTGATGTTCATAGTTTAAAGGAGTTTGAAAATTCCACGTGGCGCGTTCCAATGCTGCGGAACGACGGAAAAGAACCATTAACGAAATTCACCGCGAAACGGGCGAGCTCGTAGGAAACATACCCATGATGCATCATTGATAGCAACATGGCGGAGATGATTGAAAGTGAGTAAAAGTTCACTTATTCTTGATAAAATTAATATAAGAAAACTTAATTGAAAAACGGAAACGGTTACGTAGGAGTGAGAAACGTTTCAAATTTTACTTTATTTACGTACAAGGCCCGGCCACGGGTCGCCTGTAAACTTATACTTAGTGTTTCAATTGCGCTCAAGAGGAACTGGTTTAAAATTTCAAAAATGACCAATACACAATTCAAGCGGGACAACGGAGCATTTTACTGTTCGAAAGTTTATTTACCAAGGCTACCTTGCAGACGAATATTTGACAATATCCTTTGTGGTTTTTATAATATCTATTGTGCAATAGCTTTTGCTCCAGTATGATAAGTACGTGTTCTGTTTATGGAACTACGTACAAGTTTGGTTAGGTCTATACCTGGAAACACAATAATATTCCCGTTGCTTTTCAAAAAACCTCTTAGAATAATCGTTCACTAAGAATAATGGAACCAGTGGGAAATGTATATTTTATGTTTACAAAGAAATCATTCTTTTTAACGTAATTGAGAATCTTATACATAATTTTTTTCTGAGTTGTGAATTTTATAAGAAACTACTATGTAATATGGAATAAAAAAATTAATATGAGTACTTTAAAGAGTAGTTTGCAGTGTGATAATCATGTCTTTAATAATTATAAGTACATGATTCAGATATATTGACATTGAATGCTAGGTGCATCGTGATAGATATAAAAGCAAACTATTATTGTGATCTCTAGGTGAATCTGCTGAAACATTGTTATCTATTAAGAATGGAGGATATCCATCAGTTGATGAAATCAAGACCGAAGTGATGGATGATGACACCATGGATATGGATGATCATCAGATTTCAAATAATTCAACTGATTCTCATATGGAAACGGAAGAATCCGATCCGATACCTGAACTTGGACCTGCAGCTTTAGGGCTGCAGAGAGTGGGCACACAACCACCTCCAAAACCAAATCCTCCTACCCAACCAGTTCAAGTTCTAAATCGAAGAGGAATGCCAGCGAGAATCAGAAAGAAAAATAAATTATTTTATGATGACATATTGGTTAATCATCCTCATCATAGGTAAATATTAGCACTCTGTCCTTAGAAATTGATGTGATGCACATATTACACCGTATGTATTTTTTAGAATCAAGAAGGATCCGTCGCATTCAGATACTAAACAATCACCAAAAAAGGTACCCAGGCCGTCTCCTGCAAAGAGGCAAAATAGAATAGCCCATGAGCCCAGAAAAAATAATAATAATGTATTAAGTCAGCCTTTATCGACTTCTTTGACACCCATTAAACAAGCGAAAGAGCCTGATAAACCATCGCAACCTGCATCTCCAGATCGTAAAATTGGACAAAAGATTGGTATGAGATTAAGAAACCTATTAAAATTACCAAAAGCCCACAAATGGGTTTGTTACGAATGGTTCTACAGTAACATTGATAAGTATGTATGAGAGAAGTCAATTCGTATACGTCCATCGTTTAATGCAGTATAACTTAAATATCACTTTCATTTTACAGAACTCTTTTTGAGGGTGACAATGACTTTATGATTTGCTTGAAAGAGTCGTTTCCACAATTAAAAACTCGGAAGTTAACACGCGTTGAGTGGTGTAAAATAAGAAGAATGATGGGCAAACCACGAAGATGTTCACAGTCCTTTTTTGAAGAGGAGAGACGAGAATTAGAAAGAAAGAGACAAAAAATTCGGATGTTGCAACAAAGAAAAGCTGCAGATATTAACAGTTACAAAGATTTACCACCAGAAATACCATTACAGCTAGTAATAGGTACCAAAGTTACAGCAAGACTGAGAAAACCGCAAGACGGTTTATTCACGGGTAGCATTGATGCTGTGGATACTAGTAATAACACTTACAGAATTACATTTGAGCGTGCTGGACTTGGAACGCACAGTGTTCCAGATTATGAAGTACTGGTACGTATACGGAACGAGAATTCTTTAACATTTAATTCCTAAAGTTGTTTAAACTTTTCAATATTTTCTATGCTTTACAGTCAAATGAGCTACCAGAAACAATAAGTGTCGCCTCGTTTGCACAAAAGTTTAGACCGCGGCACGTACAATACGTACCTTCTCCACCATACGCAATGAAATTAATGTCGCCCCGTTTGAACAGCGATCCTTTAATATCCAATGCTTCTGTAGCAATACCAAAAAAATCCCACATCGATGGAACAATGAATGGCTATCCACTAAAATTGTTGGAGTTCATGGTTAAAATAAATAAAATATTGGCGGCGAAGAAAGTGAAGATTAAAAAATTGAGGGAGATGAATGGTGAGGCCGAGAAGAGACGGTCCTTTGGAGAACCGTTACCACCAGATTTTGAAAGGCGATATGCAGGGTACGTGAATATTATTTTGTCGTATTTTATATTTAACATACCTTCGTTTTTACGAATATTTCTGTTTTTAGAATCGTAGTTGAATTAGAAAAAATGAATACCGCCTTACAAGATTTTCTTAATGAAGTTCAAGAGCTATGTCAAGAAATGGCCCCTGAACCTAGCGTAGCAGCTATGTTGGCTCCGTCTCATCTTCGTGAAAAGTGTAAACAGGAAGCTGCAGACATGGTTGCGAGAAATAATATTATAAACGACAAGGAGCCCGGAAAGATGACACATTTAGTAACTGATTTAACAGCTCTCATGCTTCAAGTAAAGGTAATTGCTGAAACGATATCTGTAATATGTCTTTTGTATCTTTGATATCCTGGCCTAATTCAAATCTATTTACGTTTCAGAGTTTATCTGATTCAGATCGTAATGCATATGAATTAAAGGTATTGCAAGGCACTATAGAACAGATACGTTCGAAATTGAGTCCGCAAAATCAACAAGTTTTTCAAAATTGCGTCGAGATTCATATGCAACATATACAATTAGGTCTTGGACAGAAAGGTGCTTTAACACCATTCATGGCTCAGAGGGCTTAGTAAATATGAAAGTATCTATCGCAGGTACTTTCACAGTGATTATTTTCACGATTGTACAATATGAAATTGATATATATATAAAACATATTACAATATTTTATAAGAAAAAGTCCAACTTTATTTTATTATCTTTTTGTATAGGGCATATCATCATGAAAAGAGTAAATATATTATTAGATTGTAAATATGTGTCCTACACATACAATAATTGTTTTTTAAGTCACATTCTATAAATGATTTTTAGAATATTGTGCTGTGCTGTTGATTGCATTAAACATTTAAAAATGTTCATGTTTAAAAGATTTACATGTCAGCTTTGCAATTTGTACACAATTACGTATAGATTATAAAATTGAAGTTAAATTAATGTGGCTATTGTGAATAAAGCATGCATTTTGCTATAGCAACTTTTATTAACTCTACACCGAAATTTATAAGATTAAGTTACGAAGGTAGAATAAGTTTTTTACTTTGTACACAGATTTTAATGTCTATTGCTTATTTATAATTGCGGAAATTATTATATTACTATTCGGAAAACAAGCGACTCTGTACATTAGATATATGCACGAAAACACCTTGCATATTCAGTTGTAAATACACTATGGATCATAAAAAAATGATATACTTCCATTTATTCTATTTGGTAACTAATTTATCTATTCATTCAGAATTTGATGAGACAACATAAATGTAAGAACTATAAATATTTTCACACAGAATGATTAAATATTGTTCACTGCGTTGAACTCACTTTAGACTATCATAGCATGTTTAATACATACGTATATAACATTTCGCAGAAAATTATTGCGGAACAAAAAATACAGAGCATGAGTATATTTTTTTAATTAGAAGTTATCTCCTATCATGATATTAATAACGTATAAGAAATAATATATTCAAAATAATATATACAACCATACTTAACGTCTTAGTGCAAAATACGTACAAAGAACGTACGTACTTAGTACATATGTCAAATGATTAACATGTATTTTAAGTATTTTAAAAGTGATTAATATTTATTCATTAATTACAGATGCAATATTTTTATAGTAACGATACCATGACGTCCCTATCGTATAATGAAAAATAAAGAATATTTGCTGCAGTTCTATTTTACATAATCCTCTTTTACTCGAGAAATCAAAGTATCATAATCAATACAAATAACAAATAGATCTGTCTTTTATATTTAAAAATTCTCCAGTTTCTGTAATCAGCGTAATCATATTTCTTTTTTTCATAGGATTATCTTTATTATTTATAGCTTTAATTTTCTAATTACTTCTTATTTTTGATAAGTGCCTCTAACAACGCATCGGCATCTTCCTCTGTTTTCACTCTCAAGAGAACTGGTACTGGTGGCGGCGAAGATTCAGGATTTGGTACGCAAGCTAACATTACCGTATTTTTATTCATGCGTTTAGTTGGGATACTTTCAGTTAATAAAGTATTAAGCAGCAAGTTTCCTGAGCAAGTTTCTGCGCGTACCAATAATTGGATTTTATCATTTGGAGTAGGTTTTAGGAACAATGTCCCAATACCTTTGTCAACGAAATTACCATCTTTCTTAAAGAAAACTTTACACCTGTAAAAAATATGAAAATAATTATGTTATATGTCTTTGATAAAGGATATATAAAAGTATAACATACCTCTGTTGGTATATTGCACCTTCTTCCGTGATTGGCTTGAAATCTGATTTTGGTGGTTCGTCGTCTTCTTCTTCTGCTTCACTATTCTCAGGTTCTTGTGGCTTCACCATTTGAGCTCCAAATGTGAAAGGTTTAGCACTACAAAATTATGATATTATTATTTTTGTTACATTAAAGAGGTATAAAAAATTACCTTCCAAAACTAAATCCAGTTGATGTATTACTGGTAGCAGAACTCTGACCGAAGCAAAAAGTAGTTGTGTTTGTTGTAGGAAAAGAGCTAGTAGTAGTCATAGGAGTAATATTTTTTGAATCTGACTTTGTTTCTTGCTCATTTGTTTTATTATCTGTTGCAGTAGAAGGTTTACTTAAGAATGGATTCTTTTCAGAACTCACATTTCCGAATATACTTTTGGAACCAGATTTCTGTTCAACGTTACCAAACAGAGATTTATGCGAGTCAAAACCTTGATCAATGCTAAAAATGGATTTATTGCTGTCTGCAGTACCGTCAGATTGTCCAAATATAGATTTAGAATTTGTATTCATATTGCTAAAAATTGATTTCTCCGGTTTCCATTCTGTAGTGTTAAACGATTTCGCTGATGTACTTCCAAATGGAGAACTCTCAAACTTCTTTTCTGCACTTACTGCTTCCTTATTATCGTTAGTACTCTGTGCATGTTCCGAAGGTGATGATTTTTCTGTTTCATTTCCATGTTTGGATTCAATTTCTTTCAAATACCTTTCATAGTCTTGAAATATTGGTGTCAATATGCAGAATGGATTTGAGTCAACATGAGTCTTAATCCACTGTGCCACACTTTCATTTAAACCCTTTAACTTAGCAAAATAATCCGTAGACTTTTTAAATATATTTTTGTCCTTCTGATCAGAATCACTTTTCTGATTAGTCTGTGAGTCTGAAATATTCTGTTTACTTGTGCCATTTTCATTACGTTTAATACCATCATTGGTTGTAGATTTATTTATATTTGTAACTGTCTTTGAAGATGTATCATTCGTATTCGTATTAGTACTAGTATTACTGTTGGCTAAAAAGCTAAATGGCGAAGGATTTCCAGCAGATGCTGTTACTGTTTTAAAACCAGTAAATGCACCAAACGCACTTTTGCTAGAATCCTAAAAACACATTTTATGAAAGACAAAAATATAATTGACGTAAGATTAAAGAAAGTAAAAATCAAGGAATTACTTACATCCGAAGGTTGCAAACGTCTCTTAGCTCTTTTAACAACACGTTTCTCCATTACCTCATTGGGAGCCTTTTTGAATGTCCCTGCTTCTTCAGGACGATCTTCCTTATCCCAGTTATCATGATTTAATTCTGTAGTTGCAGACCTCTTGCCAGCCATTTTTGTAAACATATTCTAATAGTAAAATTAACACTGTTTTGCGTACATCTTTTTTGCGAAAACACACAATATCGGCATCAACAGTCAAGTGTTACAATTACTGATATAAATATAAGCAGAAATCTATTTTAAGTATTATATTATTTATAATAGAAGCAGTTATA